TTTCAAGGTCTATCCATGAGTTTCTGCTAATATTTGCTTAAGTTACTACAGCAGGTAAAGAATCATCTATATAATATCTATATATTTAAATAATAATTCTAAATTACAATCTTAGAATCATTTAATGTCTGTTGACTGAGGAAAATACAGCGTTTAATAGTGTTCGGTAGAACAACAAATAAAGATTTCAGCAAAACAGAGCCTCCTCTGTCCCTAGAAGCAGAGCACTGTCTACTGTGATCAGGCGATGAGCAAAACAGAGCATCCTCTGCTTCTGCTCCAACTAAAACCAAACTGAGCTACCGAAGCAAGGATCTGACTGAACTTACGATTGAACCAGATGTTGGAGGCCAGCTCCTCGGCCTTGCGGCTCCAGGTGTTGAAGAAGTCGAGGATGTGCTCCATGGGGCTGTCCCCCTTGCCCCTCTGCTGCTGCGGCGGCGCCGCCACGGGCTCCCCCATGATGACGTACGGTGGCAGCTCCTGGTCCCCGCGCGCCGCCGTCCACTGCGCCGCCTCCTGGTTCTCCGGATGCGCCCCGGGGGCCGCCGGCGGGCCCATCTGTCGCGTGCCCCACCGCGCCGACTCCGCGGGAGGCGCAGAAGCCGCGGGCTGCGGTGCGCCGGCCGGTGGCGCGGCCGTGGTGGCGGGGTCGTGCTTGCCGTCCTTGCCCTCCATGGATGATGCTGATGATGACGTCGCCGGCCGGGAGCTTATTGGGGTAGGTGGTGGAACGATGTAGATGGACCTCGGTGGGAGTGGAAAGCGCGAGGCGAGACGACTGAAGAGTGCTGATCGCTGATGGCGAGAAGGGCGAGTTTTTATAGCCGGTGCGGTGACGTGTCGGCCGCCGCGTTGCAGAGCCTGTAAGCTTCGGGAGAAAGAACCTTCGAGGCGCGGCACACGTGACACGTGGACACTGGGGGGTTACGTTTACGTGGGCACTGGAGACCGGAGACTTAGCCGTGGAGAGAAGTGTTGTCGACGTGTCCTAGCGTTTTATTTCCAAATATTCCAGTACTATGGAGTAAAGCACTTGACATCAGACGTGACACGCTGTCCACAGAATCCTCAGTTGACACTTTGGGCCTGTTCGCTGGTTGGTGCTGGTGCTGATGCTTGTGCTGGTTTAGATTGGCTGGTGCTGGTTTTTTTTAAAGAAACATGCTGTTTGACAGTTGGGAGGAGATAATCATGGCTTGTACACCTATGCAATATGGCAGATATATACACGTTAAATTGTTCAAGTTGTTTTTTTTTTGGAAAGACTACATGTTAAATTGTTGATCCATACATAGGCTGGGTCCTGAGAGCAGAGGTGACCTGTTCATGATAAAAGATCCCAGTCTAGAGGATTGGATTCATCATGATTAAAGATCTATGCAGTTTCATTCTAAGTCAAATTACTATATATATCGGGGATTCAACTTTGAACAAGACAGTTCTCGAAATCGACTAACAAGTTTTAACTAAAACGTTATCAAAGTTGGGAATTGATATTGTTGTTCAGGAGGGGTTTCACCTAAACTTATATGAAGCAGAACCTTCGTAGGTGACCAGTGAAGCCCAAAGAGCGAAACCGAAGGTGAGAAGACGAAGTCAAAAGCGAAGGACCGAAGGTGATCACCCCACTTTGAGGAGAAGCGAAGCCAAGGACGAGCAAAACGAAGCCAACATTAGCCAGACCAGGGTAGACTCGTCCCGAATACCTGACTCATTTGACGAAGCCAATTGGAAGAAGTAGGGATGCTCATTTGTTGTGTAATGACCAGGTTGCCCTTCAGAGCAAAGAAGGCCATATATGGATGTAATAGTCAAATGAGGTAGGGAATTGCATTAGGATTATCCAAGACTCCTAACTCTATAAGTACCCATGACATGTACTTTTTTCCGACATGAAATCTGTATTCAATAGAGTTAAAACCACTCTCTCATGGTTGTGTGATTAGTCACCAACACTCTGACTTCAACTATACATAAGTATCTACAACATCAAATAAAATTTATTAAATATACCATAAAATATATTTGATAATATATTTATTTTTACATATTTTAGTATTATTTTTCCTCATAAATTTAGTTACAACTAGAAGCATACCTCGCGCGATGCCGCGGGATTTTATAAAAAATGAATATGTTATATACATAATATACTATATGGTATTTTGTATACTGTGTGTGTGTATATATATATATATGAATTTGATTTGTATGTTATTTTATTATATCAGATCCGGTAAAAAATCGGTAAGCTAATAGAAGAAAAACCAATAGAATACTTGATTACATTACAGAGGAATATGTGATGAAACAAATAGTGTATATAGATGACTTGTATATTAATAGATTAAAGATTAGAAGTATTATACATGATAGAGATGATGTGGATATTTTTTTAATTAATAAGAGATGACATGGACTTAGTGGGAATGATGCGGCAACCTTGCATAAAGAGACAAAATATCTAGTGGGTTACTTAGTGGGAAATGATGTTCACACCTTGCATGAAGAGAAAAATCATCATTAATAAGAGATGACATGGACTTAGTGGGGAATGATATGGACATCTTGTATGAAGAAATATAACATCTAGTGTGTCATTTAGTGGGAAATGATATGGACACCTTGCATGAAAAGAAAAATCATCTAGTAGGGTTTAGTTTTATAAGAAGAGATGACATGGATTTAGTGGAAGAATGATGCGGACACCTTGCATGAAGAGACAAAACATCTAGTGAGTCGCTTAGTGGGGTATGATATGAACACCTTGCATGAAGAGAAAAATCATCATTAATAAGAGATGACATAGACTTAGTAGGGAATGATACCGGACACCTTGTATGAAGAGATATACCATCTAGTGGGTCGTGGAGAATGATGTAGATGCCTTGCATGAAAAGAAAAATCATCTAGGAGAATTTAGTTTTATAAGAGCATATGATATGATATGATTAAAGAAATTTGACTTAACGTAAAATTTTAAAATAATTTACCATTTTTTGAAGTGAAGTATATAAGCATAGTCTCCACGAGGATAAAAGAAAAGATTTCACTGATCCACTAGAACTCACAATTTGCAACATGCATGCAAATGACATGTGGTGCAGTAGTAAAATTTATCCAACGAACAACCCAATGCATATTTTTATATGGAGTGAATTGCGCGGTGAGTACTTAAACTTTTTCTCACTTCTCACCTAAATCCATAACTTTTTTTCACTCATAATGGGTCCATGAAATTTATCTGCGTCCTAGCCGCCATCCAAAATAGGCCACATAGGACTTTGCTGCCTATGTGGTCGCTTATGTGGCGCCACATGCTCTTTTTTCGTTCCATAAACTGGCCGAAACTTTGAAAAAAAGAATAAAATCATAGAAAAATCGTAAAAAGGAAAATATAGTTTTGTTAGACTCCATATGAGTAGATCTATGCAATTAATATATATATAATATGACATGATTATAGTTTAAAGTTTTTGTTGTAGCTGTAGATCTATATGTTTCTGTATTTAATTCATAACTATAGCTCCTTTGCTCCAATTGTGGTGAAATTTTATGGTTTCATTGTATGCTTGAGCTATGGTAAAAACTCTAGCTTTAACGGAGTATGTATGACTGAGTTATTGATTTACCTAGGTTTATGCTTGTTTAATAGTTAATAAATAGTTAAAAGGTGTAAAAATGGAAAATGTGCTTTCATTTTCTTTTGATGACGTTGTTATGCATTGCGAACACTTAACATCACCATGTTGTTACAAAAATGTTGAGCTTTAGATTTATCTTTGCATCACATGATTTCTTGCAATGAAAATTTATTTTTATTGTAGTAATTAATCTACTAATTTTGGGCATGTAATATTTTTATAGTAGCTATTTTTTGTTATCATCTATCACCCATAAAAATCTCAGCTTCAAATAAATATTTGGTACACCACCAAATAATAATGGGCATGTTTTAACTATTTATTAACTATTAAACAATCATAAACCTAGGTAAATCAATAACTCAATCATACATGCCTCATTGAATCTGAAAGTTTTACCATAGCTCAAGCATACAATGAGAAGCCTACTATAAAAATTTCACCATAATTGAAGCACATGAGCTGCAGTTACGAATTAAACACAAAAACACATAGATCAACATAAATCTACTGCTTACAACAAAAATTGTAGACTAAAGTATGTCATATTATATATCTATATTGCATAGATCTACTCATATGGAGTCTAACAAAAATGAATTTTTCCTTTTTACGGTTTCTATGATTTTATAGTTTTTAAAGTTTCAACCAGTTTATGAAATAAAAAGGGCACGTGACGCCACCTCATCTGCCACATATGCAGCAGAGTCCTACGTGCCCTATTTTGGATGGTGGTTAGGACGTAGACAAAGTCTATGGACACAGATGAGTGAAAAAAATCATAAACTTAGACGAGAAGTGGGAAAAAGTTTTAGGACGTACAACACAATTCATTCTATTATTTATTATTCTGTAATGCCTCTAGAAATTAAGGGTCACTTTATTTCTTTCACGAAAGCATGGTCCTTGGTAAAAAAAATATACAAAATCAGCCTGTTCGTTTATTAGTTTCAGCCAAGACTTATCAACCATGGTATAATATTTTTTTCTCACAATAAAATAGCACCGGCCAGGCTTATGAGCCTATAAACCAACCACCAACATGCTGAATTTGTATTTGCATTGCCGCCGGCTTATTACATGAGCCTAAATTTGAGACAGCAGATACTTTGCTCTTGATTTGGTTGTGTGAACAAAATATACGAAGACAATTTGATTTCTCCCAAATATTCTGAATTATTATGATACAGTGTGACTTTCGCGAAGTCGGCGAGGTTCACACATGTGCAAGCAAATTACTCTAGACGCCTGTACGCCTGTAGTAGAAACTAGAAAGCGAAGCGAAGAAGACGACAAGGTACACAAGACTTTTCCACAATTCCACCTGTCCCTATCCACGACCCCCGACATTCCATGGGCGACTCCGGCGGACCCCACCACCACCGCCCTTCGCCGCCGCCGCTGTCGGACGCCGGCAAGCGACGGCGCCTCCCCAACGTCCGCCTCGCCGGCTCCGTCCCGCTCCCTTCCCACCTGCCCCACCCGCGCCGCGTCCCCATCGTCCCCGCCACCAGGTCCCGCAAACCCCTCCACCTTCAGCACAACAGCAACCACCATGACCACCCCCCTCCGCGGAGCCACCCCAAACCCTCCTAAAACCCTTGGCCGACAGCGGCGACGAAGTCGTCCTGGCCGCCGCCTTCCCCCGCAAGGCCAGGAGGGCCCCAAAGTCCACGGCAGCGGAGGAGGCAAACGGGGAGGAGACAAACGGATGGGCGGAGGATTCGGAGACGGAGACGGAGATGGAGGAGCAGGAGGAAGCGGGGGAGGAAGTGGTGGACGTGCCGAGCTGGCTGTGGGGGGGGATGGGGATGGGGCGCTACGCGGCGGCGTTCGAGGCGCACGAGGTGGATGCTGAGGTGCTCCCCTGGCTCAGTATGGACGACCTCCGGGACATGGGCATTGGTGCCGTCGGAGCACGCCGCAAGCTCTTCTGTGCCATCCAGAGGCTCACTTCGCAGCTGCCGCCACGGAGGTGAAACGTTCTGTCTGACCTGCGTGCTGTGGGCATGCTAGCTAGTCCGGCGCCACCTCTTTGCTAGGGGACTAGATGCATGGGTCTTAGGAGTAGGTGTCCAAAGTGTAAAAATGACAAGGTTTGATCTTTGCTTAGCTGTGACTGTAGCATGGTCGGTTCGTGGCCCCGTCCCATAGTGTAGATGTGGAGAAGGCGAAATAGGAATGCTAACTCCACTGCTTTTGATGTTGTCTAATGCTTTCGTGCAAGTGCTAGGATGCTGTGTCGTACGATGTAAATGTGAAAAATATGGAATAGTAATGCTGAGTTGTTGACGTCATGTTTCAAACATAATTGCTCCATTCTTTTCTTCAGCGCAGTGGATTGGATTAGTGGAATTTCGACATCTTGGATACTGGAACATGCTATGCGTGTGCATTGTGTTATGAATTTAAGTTCATCTTGTAGGTGAGAATTGCATAGAAATTTTAAGTAGGGAGTTTGTCTGTGCTCCATTGCTATTTCCAAATTGCTTTTGTAGTATTAGTGTTCCCACATGCTAAGATTGCTGAAAATGTTCATTTTTTGGGTGTGCCAAATATCTTGCCTAAGAATTTAAATTATGCCATGGTGGATTTTGCATAGCTGACCATTTGCTGCAGAGAACAACAAAGTTTGAATGTCAATGATTCTTACCTTTTCTAAATGCTATTACTAGCCTTCAGTGAAATGATTGTTTTTGCTATTGTTGTAAAAGAAAATATTCAACTTGCCCTATTCGCCATCTTATTGGGTACTGTTTACTGTATTCCATTCTAGTGTTTGTTCTTGATTAGTTGCTTCAGGGTATACAACCCATGAGACAGTACACTTGAAAATGATGATATACTACATCCAGCTGTGCCCCTCTGATGTCCTTTTGGAGTTGTAATGGCCAGTAAGTATGAGACTTTAACTTTATTAATGACTTTGCAGTTTGCATTACTATTAATGTTTAATACGGGGCTTTTAGAGAAAAAAATCTTTATAATACTCCCTTCGGTCCAGTTTATAAGGAATTTCGTGTAGGTCAAGAGTCAAACTTTATAATCTTTGACCAATAAGTTGGCTAACAACTTTTAACTATTGACTATCGTAATACAAACTTGATATTATTAGATTTGTAATCAAATGTGCTATCCAATAACCATAAGTTTATAATCATAAATAATATAATATAAAATAATTGAATTGTCAAAGTATAGTTTAGGAGACCGTGCCATGTCGAAAGTTGCCTTATAAAATGGACTGGAGGGAGTAGTATTAAATGATTTTCTTAAATCTTAATCATCCTAAACTGGCATGCATATATGTTGGAGATTGACATTGATGTCTTCTCAAGGCATCTATGTTTAGCTTCTCTAGAACTAATTATTTTGATTGTTTACATATACTTTTGCATTAGCAGTGTCCTGAAAATTGGTGATTTGGTGAACTTGTTGTGAAATTGACATTGCCATGCACAGCCTAATATTGTTCAGATGATAGTTTATGGATATGACATAAGTAAGCTTCAATCAAGAGCTCAGAAACAACAATTGGATACGCTCACTAAGAGGCCGCATCACCTCAGCCACCCACGTCAAAGAATTTGTCTCCCTTTGGATTAGGATCCAGGATGCGCATCTGCTCCAGGGCGTCCCAGACTCCATCACTTGGAAATGGACTCCGGACGGCACTTACTCCACCCGCTCAGCTTCCAGGATGCAATTCTGTGGATCCTTCGGTACTTTCCGGAGCAACCAAATTTGGAAAGCACATGCTGAGAATAAATGCAAGGTCTTTACCTGGATACTTATACATGGGAAAGTACTAACAGCGGACAACTTACAGAGAAGAGGGTGGCCACATCAAGACCACTGCGTGCCCTTTTGCCATGGCGGTTTGGAACCAGATTTTAACATGGGAGCACTTCGAAGACATCCTGAGCCAACTACAGCAGGCCCCCTCTCAGATCATTTCTTGGTGGAAGGATGCTGCAAGCAAACTGCCTAGAGCGGAGCGGAGAAGGTTCAATGGCTTGGTGATTTACACCTTCTAGAATTTATGGAAAGAGAGGAATAGGAGAATTTTTAACAACGCCCCAGAAACGGTGCTACAGGTGGCCTCGAGAATTAAGGAAGACATAGACCTTAGAAAGAGGGCCTTTTCATAGGGGCTGCTCTTCTTTCTTTATGCGGGGCTTTGATTTTTCTGCTGTGTGACAGTCGAGGGCCGGGTCTCTCTTCCCTTTCTTGTACATAAACTTCTCTTTTTTTCTACCTTAATTAAAAGGCAGAGCTCCTGCCATTGCTTTCAAAAAATAAGTGGCCACATAGTTCAATATTTTAGTTTTTCTGAATTCACCCCGTTTTCCTTGATCCTAGTTGGAGCAATTGATAAGTTGTTATTCCTGTCCATGTAGATTAAGTATGATTAGTTCCAATGATTAGCTTTCTTTCCCGTCCAAATTGGCAATTATTTATATTTTGGCTTTTAAGCCACCTTTGGCCACATTACTGTTTCTGTAGACTGACATATCTCCTCATATCTGTGTTTCCACAGCACAGTTCCTGAAATATTTCAGGACTGAGTTGTTAATATCCTTTTTGAATCTCTTCTTTGTTTTTTTTTTATTTTACTGCTAGTGTATGTAGGGACTATTGTCTTAGTGCCTTCTGTATTCACATCGTTGGGCATGCCAGTAAATGTTTCTGAAACTTTGACCTGCATTTGCTCTCCGAAGTGGCAGAATTACACTCTAGGTTACATGGTGGCTTTTTTTTTTTTTTGCCATCCTGCAAGATATTTCTTAAGACCTGGTTAGTACTGCATGTTGTTCTATCAATCCTTTTATGATCAGACTTGATATTCTCTGGTTTTTGTCTGAGCAGTGAATCATACCTTATCATTGTTCAAGGCAGAATTTTACTCGATGCCACCAAACTATTAAGCTTGTTTGCGAAATTGGAAAGAGCTAATGTTTTCCTGTAGTCATAATTGTTTTTACAAGTTCCATGTTGGAGTGCCAGTTCAACAACTTTTAGAAGCTAAGTGAAAAGTTGGCGAGTCATGTGAAGGCGAACCTGGAAACTGTTAGAAGTAATCCTTGTGTTTAGTGCTAGTCCTAGTAGTATACTAGTATATGGTCTTTTAGCTGGCTGCCGACATATTGGTCGGTTTGCTCTGGTTTCTTAGACAGGAAGTCTAGCTGCTGCCCCTTACAGGAAGTAGTCAATTTTCTTTTTACTATAGTAGACAGCAGCAGCAGCAGTATAGGTCTGTTGTTTTTGCTTAGGGCCTGTTTAGATTCCAAATTTTTTTTACGCAGATCACATTGAATCTTGTGGCACATGCATGGAGTACTAAATGTAGACGAAAAAAAAAACTAATTGCACAGTTAGGTGAGAAATCGCGAGACGAAACTTTCGAACCTAATTAGTCTATAATTAGATACTAATTGTCAAATACAAACAAATGAGCTACAGTACCGAAACCAAAAATTTTTGATATCTAAACGCGACCTAACTCCCTCCGTCCCTAGTGGGACCCATCAGGCCTGGCCAGCACAGCACCGGCTCCGTTCCCAGCGCAGAGATGGGGCAAGAGGCAAGAGGCAAGCGATGAACAAGAGACTGTGGCTGACATCTATAGGGGTATTTTGTAATTTCCTTTCTGTGCCATCCTATAATTGCAATTATCCCGAGGAAGTATGCATATTCAATATGAATGTTAAGCCAGTTAGCTTGAAGAACAGAACCTGTGTTCTAACCCCAGCCCCAGCTACTTCCCTCCGCTCATCCTATAGCTATTGTTCTTCTAACATAAACAATGTGTGCTTATGCAAGCTAATGGATGAAAAGAAATCTTCACTCCTAAAAAGGCTAAAAGGGAATCGGCAACACTAGGATTACACGTGCCTTCCCACCCCGCCTTCCCACCCCACGAGCCGCCTCTGCATAATAATAAAAAAAAGGAGAAGACCAACGCCCCGCCCCTGCTGTCCTGCGCCCATCTGCCCTGTCCAGCCCCGTCCCAATGCCGCCCCATGCACACCGAGCTGTGGGTGTCTGTAAATCATTTACTAAAATATGTCATGAGCATCATGTTTATGTGTTAATATATGTAATAAATAGTGTATTTCTGTAACTCAAAACGATCAACGGAAATACGAAATGAAAGTTAATTCCATAGTCATGTTATATCACTTAGGGTTTAAAACCAATTTTTATTAAGCAAAAATGCTATAGAACATGTATGTGATACTTCAATAAAGTTTGAAGTACAAATTTTGTAGATGACAATGAAATACCTAAGGTCAAAAAATGATATTACTAGCTAAGATTTCCAATAGCTTAGAAATGCAATTTGAAATAGAGTTCAACTCAGAACTTAGAAAATTTCTTGAACTTTGAAAAGGGTAGACATTGCTTTGTTCAGTAATTTTTGTAGAAAAATTTAGTTAAGAAGTAAAGTAGTGTCATTGCCTGTTTTAGTCGCCTAATGTACCCTCTAAAGTATGGTGAAGATGGTTTGGGTGTTTGGCCAACCGATTAGTTGTTTTGGGCGCTTTAAAAAGTGTACATGGCACGTCCTCGGTTGGTTTTCTCACGTAGGCGCGGTCACCGCGCTCCTGAGCCACGACGACGACGCGCTGACCACCCATGCGCGCGCCTGGCCACGCTTGGCTGGCCGCTGTGGCTGACAGCCCTAGTGCGCGGCTGCCCCACCTCACTGCCGCGCTACTACCTCGCCGCTAGCTCCCAGCCATGCGTCGTCACGCCATCGTTGCCTTGCCCCGTCCCGCGCTGCGCTGCCGTCGCGTCCGCCAATGTTGCCTCACGTCGCGACGCTGCCGCTGCCGTCGTGTCGCTCCTGTACGCGTGCTGCATCGCGCTGCCCCTCCCTAACCCAGTTAGGTGCCGTCCGCACGTGGCCGTGCGTGTCGCCATCGCTTTGCCATTTATGGCACTGCGGCCGCGCGGGCCACGCCGGTCGGGCGCG